TTCCAACTCCCCTCCACCAAGTTCTTGCACATGTTGATAGAATAGACGGTTGAAGTTAAATGGGAACAAAAGCAAACTCTGTACTCTTATAATAGATGGCTGACATCAGACAAATATTCAAAAGGAGGGAAACGGCACACTGTAGGAGTCGGGTTACAAGAAGGATGCTGGATGAGGCATCCTGGGAAATGAAGTCCCGAAGTACTCCCACACATGGGCAGTGAGATGCCCTTGGTAATTGGTCAAGGAAGTCACGTGTTACTTTGAGTTGCATATAAAAGATGGTGATTGAATAAAGAGGATTTGGTGCTGAACCCCCAACCAAGCTAGCCGTGTCCGTGTAATTTATTGACATGTTATATTAATACGCCATAGCACACTGTCTGCTTGAAACCCTTCTATTATGTTAAGTCATATAATCTGTTGATAGTGTTTTGCCCTAGGAACTTCAGACAAAAAAAAACATTAAAGAAATTTCCTGGGGAGGAATAAGTTTACTCCCTACCAAGTGAAGAGTGGACTCTTTCTTATAAATTCATTGACAGTCATGAGAATTTCAAAGCTCTCTCCCCTTTTATCAGACTACAGGGTTTATCAGACTTCCAGTTTAGTGAAGAGAAAATAAAGATTTGCAAAGATTAATAATACTTATTAATGAGACAAATAGTTTCATAAAGGGACCTGCTGCTCACAAATGCTGTTAAGTAGTACAGAATACAGACTACCTTTCTTTTTAGTCATCTATGGGAATATTTTTACAGTTCTGTGTTTTCCTTATGAGTAGTTAACAACAAATTTGTTACCTGATAGGCATTATGGTCATCTGGGCAAATGACAAACTGCACATTTCTCTTCTGCTCGGGGTGTGCCCTGGCAAAATTTAAAACTTCTTCAATCATAGTCTCTGCCACTATATCAACAGGAAGATTTAATGACCATTTTACTGGAAAAGAAACTGAGAGACATTGCTGGTCCTGACTCAGGCATCTTTGCACTGCATGCTTTAATCCCTGCAGGAAAAACAAGTATTTCAGTCCTCACATCACCCAACATGAAAATCCATTAAAATCCAATGTAACTGATCATCACCTCACACTGTGACACCGGGTGTTCGCATTCTCTCAATACCACGTGCAGTACAAACTCACAAGGCAGACAATACCCTTTTGTTACTATGAGATCCTTATAATGTGTCGAAAAACGAAGATGATTGCTAAGTTCCTCCTGAAGATCTGGACCCGCTTTTTGCAGCAGTCTTGAAAATGGGCAGGGAAGCTTCCCACTCTTAAACACACAGTTAACAACAGCTGTAGTCTGCAAGGCAAGAGTGCAAGTTTCAGTGTACTTCAAGTTTACTACTTGCAAGCTTTGATATTATAGAGAGCATTCTTTCTAGCCACAATTCCTGTAAAAAGGCATTACTGCAGCAGATCAACTGCTTGAAAAGTTTTCCTACTACTTACTACAGCAGGCAAAACTGGAATACATCAAAGGATGCACCTTGCAGTAGCAGTAAATGCAGACATTTTCAGAAACAAGCAGTGTGCACAAGAGCTGTTCCAGTCATCAGAGTGTATTCAACTCAGTTTTACTGCCACTATCAAAGTGACCCACATGTGCCTCATCCAATCCAATCCTGCTGCCAATTATCAAGCAGGAGAGAACTATGGCTATGCCCTGTTTAAAGGTAAGGTGCACATCATCTGTATAAGCTATTTTCAGCTGTTTCAGTGAATTTTTAAATATCTGCAGTAATGGCATCTATGAGAACATAAATTATAGGAAAAAAAAGCAAAGCAGGAAATAAGAGTAGACTTCTAGGGAATATATGAGAAAATGTGAATTCCCACAATGTTATAAGAAGAAGATAAATCTTAACAAAGAGATGTATTATTAATCATCCAATCTCTAGCTGCTTCCTATTATATCATAATAGTGTGTATACAAAAAAGAAATAAAAACATCCTGAAGTTTAATACCTGTTTAGAAAAAAACAAAGAAACCACAATTCCTTGCCACTATAATTTATTTACCACGTGTAAATTCTCATCAGGTTGAGAAAAAAACTATTTAGTGGACGGACACAAAATGCGTTCTGAACTCTTGGGCTCCAAATCCTGCAAAAACTTGGAGGCAACACCATGTTCAACAAATTTCAGGACAGACTTACCTTCTGCTCGTCAAGGTGTCCTCTTGTGATGCGCAAGCGAATGCCTTCATATTTGATGAAAGGTAAAGACTGGCTTGGTGAAGATGACACAGATTCCTGAAGTGAACTGGTATCATCCAGAAACTTCTCACAGGCCTTCTTCATTTCTGCAACCGTAGCCTCATCAATGTTCACCAGGCGGATTTCCCTGAGAAAGCTTGGTGGATGTGCCTCAACAAATTGCCTTACAGCCATTACAATCACCTCAGCACACAAACTGACTGGGAAGCCAAAGATACCTGAGCTCACTGCTGGGATAGCCACAGACTTTATGGTCCTTTCTGGAGCACTAACATAAAGCAGAACATTCATAATAGCTTTCTCAAGTAGGTAATAACATTTTTCCTTTTCATAAGCATTCCACCTTGGACCAACTGCATGAATTATGATCTCACAAGGAAGCTTCCCTCCACCTGTTACTGCTATTTCACCAGCTTGGAGTCTGCCATACTTTTGAACAAAAAAGTCACTTTCCTGTTGTATTTCTGACCCTCCAGCTGCCACAAGGGCGAAAGCGAGACCTGCTGCATGGTGTAGGTATTCATTGGCTGCATTCACCAAAGCATCAACCTTGTGTCCTGTGAGATCACCCTTACAAACACAAATGTCAATTCCCTTTAGTTTTTTCCTGTATACTTCAACAGTGCTTTTTGTGCTTTTGAAGGCCAACGTACAAGCAAACTTTTGGGAAATGAGATTACTTAGACAGTTGTCTCTTCTCTTAAGAGCTTCATAGGCATCTTTATTGATGGGCATCATCAAGCTGACCTCATCCATTACCATGCTTGATCCTAGGATACAGAATATAAAGTGAAATAGAAGATACTACTGTCAAAACATTGCTTTTTATAAAGAAGAGTAGTTTATAGCTCTCAATTTTATCCTACTGTCATTACTAAGCAATATTTTTTACATGGTATGATCTTCTCTCTCCCTTTTTCAGAGGTGTAGAAAGCCCGACCAATCAAAGAGTCACTAAAGGTTACAAGAACAGCATCACTGAGCCTGTGGTGACTTGAGGGTTTGGGTTCGCCTTATTTTTTACCTGAGAAGGAAGTTTGGTTAAGATGTGTCTCCTCTTGGCACTTGTATTCTCTCTCTCCTTCCTACTGTTTATTCTCCCCACCATTAGGCTGACACAGCCATTGTTGGGGACATAGCCTTCAACGAATCAGTGACATAATCTGAATCTAAAAAAAATTAAGCACACTAGAAAACTTAATTTCATTTAGAGCCCTAGCCTCATCAAAAGACTGATGCAGCAGCACAACTGAATGGGCTGAGAATAAATGGTGAGAAGGAAGATAAAGGAGCAGACAGGCACTGTTACAGGGCTTTGTTACCTGGCTGCAGTGTCACCGTGATGCTGGGCTGCATTTGACACTAAAACTTCAGCTGACAAAGCAAAATGTGAAAAGCCACGCCATAATCAGGGCTTCAAAATGCTTGCAAAAGCAGAAAAAAGCACTTCTTCCCCTCCGATATAGTTTTGCTGAGCCCACAGAAGCTTGGCTCCGCCCTCTCCAGGGCATTCTTAGCGTTTTGTTACTGATTTCCAGGAAGGGCCGAGATAAGCACCCCAGGCCTTTGCAGTGACTCTCAGTCACACCAGCAGAGGAACAATTGCAGATAGGTTCATTTAACTGTGCCACAGAGATCTTGTGCTGAGTTTTAATTCTGTGAGTCTTGTTTGGTCTACAGTTAAAGCCCTCGAGCAAGTTGTTTCTTTGTATGAAACTTTGTTCAGAAAGGCTTTTGAAATCACTTGTTTTAGGGAACAAAGATCACGTGGGGCAGTTTTTACATTATCGCTATGGCTATACAGCCCTCTCCTGGCAGATGCCAGCAGTACTATATGCGGCCATTATGTTAATTAGTTTAAATCGATTTCTGTGAGTTTAATCAAACTTCCCTCCGGGGTATGCTGCCTGCCTGTACAAAAGAGTCTTACGTTTTGCAGTTTTAAAGCATACACACCAATTCATCCAAACACTTTTGAGCTCTTGGTTTGTTAAAAGAGAAACGAAAGCAAAGCCCGCTGAAACAATCAATAGTAATATTGATTAATAACCTTGTCTAATTAATATTCATTCATATTAGTTATTAGTTTTAGGTTGCTTTTGGCTATTACACGTTGATGTTTTCCAGTTTGATGGCTGTAGCTGGCACTTTTCAACTTACATATAGAGTCACACACTTCGCAGATGACTAAATGAGAGGCTTACCTAAACCGATTTTCTCTTCCGAGGTCCCTAGAAAGTAACTCTATTGTTTTTTTTAAAAAAAAAGAGAGAGAGAGGGAAAAAAAAGGAAAGAGAAAGTACATGTTACAAGTAACAAAGTAGATGGGCTGCCTTCCTACGGGAGCGGTTCTGCTGCAAACCAAGCCAGCAGCACCGGCTTTTCAAACATCTGTACGAAGCTTTCTCATATTTACAACGCTACTCGGAGCTGCCGGAGCTCCGTAGGCGAAGTTGCCCACAGCGTCCTCTGGCCCCGTGTGACCCGCGGGGGCAAAAAGCCAGGAAAACTCACTTATTCCCGAGCACCATCCGGAGGACGGGACTGTTGTTTCCCCAAGCCCCAACGGGAGGTCCCGCCGCACCCCCAGCCCGTGAGGGAGCCGCCGCCGCTGCCCCTCCGCACCCCCAGCCCCGCTCCGGTACCTGCAAGGCCCCCATGAACCGGCTCGGTGCGGCACCGCCGTCTGCCCCTCAGTGCCCGGAGCTGGAGCGGGGCCCGGGGCGGGGAACAGCGGGTAGCGAGAGGGAAACGAAAGCGAAAGCGGGCGGCGGGAGCGATCATGGCGGCGGCGCCGCTGCTCGTGCGGCTCAGCCCCGCGCCCGACCCCGGCGACAAGGCGATCCTCAAGCTCCAGGCGTACTTCCAGTCGGGAAAGCGGTCGGGGGGCGGCGAGTGCAACGTGCGGGCAGGTCCCCAGCCCGGAACCTACTGGGTGGACTTCCATGAGGAGCGAGGTACAGGGCGGAGGGCGCGGCTCGACGGGACGGGGTGGGGGGAGCAGCTGAGCCGTGTGAGGGGCTGCAAATGGCCCCCAAGGCACCATATTGCGCTTTTGGGCAGGGCATGGATAGGGCAGGGCAGGGCAGAGGGTCTCTGGGGCCCCTAGTGTTGCACAATGTGGAGTGTGTCAAGAAGAAATAAGTCCGTCGTAAGTCTGGATGTTCTTTGATGTAAGACCTTTGTCTACTTTTAAGCCTAATCAGCAAGAAAGGAGAACTAATCAGTGGGACAGGCAGCAGCGAGCATCCCTTAGTTATGGGCATCCAAGCACTAACAATCTTTAAGGATGTAGTAAATCAAGCTGCTGATGTATGTCTATGTTTTTGCTAACATAGCAAAGTACTCAAGGTCCACGTACCCTACAGCTGAACTATATTCATTATAATGCTAAAAACCACACCTACAGGTCAAAAAGACCCCTGCTGAGGTGAAACCCTTCCCCTGAGCATGCATAAAAGTTAGCTGGGGTTATGTAACTTGTGTGGAAATTACTAACCAATTGTAATAGGAGGGCTGTGCTTGGGAAGTTACTACCTCTGAGTTTCTGTGTATAAATAACGATGCGAAAAGTCGATTGGGGCATGCTTGGTTTGTGGAATACCATTGACCACCCAGGCTTGCACAACTCTGAAATAAATCATGTGTCTCTCTGGAGTGTGTAATTACTGGCGTGCTTGCACACCAGGTAACGAATCTGATTTTATGGGCAACACTGGTAGCCAGGATGTTTTCAGGTAACTTTACCAGCCTTATCTGCCTGTCCCTCAAACTACTGCAGATAAGAAGAGCGTGGAATCCCGCACGAATCACACCTTGGAAATGGGTGCAAAATGCCTGAAGATAGTCATCCAGCCAGGAGAGGGGGACCAGAGCAAGAGCCGGGTTACAGCGCAGGCGTCCACCAGCTACGATGTCCCTGCCAGCCCTGTCCTGCCCCAGCAGGAGCAGTGGGCAGCCAATGGCCGTGGGGAGATGGCAAGGGAAGTCCTTACCAAAAAGGTACATCGGGACGAGCAGTGTCACAACCTGCCCCGCTTGTAGTTCCATGTAGTCCTTTATGTTGTACTTCAATATTTTATGCTGAGAAAATGTTGAGCAAACATAATCTTAGTAAATAAAACGTGGGCTGGGAACGACTTCCAAGTGCTGAACCAGAGGTCAATCCATACATGTTTACAGGCAGCATGTTTTCCAGCATGTCAACCACTACTCCCCAAAGCATCGCCCTGGTAGGTTTCGGGGGATAGTGTGCACCAAGGGCTGCTCCCAAAAGGTGGAAGAATTGTATGAGATTTGGATCCCTTCCAGATACACAGATCTCTAACACTATTTCAGCATGGTTTGCACCTTCAAGCAGCCCTAATTGCTTCCATCCCTTATCTCAGTGTTGAAAAAATCTGCTCTGATGTGATGGAGCACAGCAAACATGATTTCAGACACTTTGAACTAGAAGTTAAAGATCAGCTGTGTGTTAGGGACATGGGATAGCACCAGGCTACATGATGTGAATGTGGCTCTATTGAGGCCCTGATATCTGGCTCAGAGTGTTTACCCTGTTTTGGATGGTAGCATAGATGTTATCTTTTGAGATACAGCACATGCTACCATAATGCTTACCTGGCATCTGTACCAGTATACTGCAAATTTCCCTATCCTTTTGTCTCTGCAAAGTAGACATGTGAACATGTTATTATTTTTCAGAATCCTGTTTTTTGCCCTAACTCTGAGTTACTAAAGCATGACTTTGGGGAAATTTTAAAGAAAATTAATAAGTGAAATCTAGGAAGTCTAATAAATAAAGAACAATGAAATATAACATATATGTGCTGTTAAAACATGTTGTGTCTGTGTCACCTGACACTAAGGGAACAGAAAGATTCTTTTGGAGATCCTTGGCAGAATAATGATGGCACTAAGTTGTAGTTACAATGAAAGTTTTGGGGTTTTTTTAAACAGGATTTTATGATTAGCATAGCATAGAATTAATGATTGAAATAGCACAGAATTTCCACAAGCAGAATCAGCGTAGGACAATTTTATGAGTCTTGTAGCACTGCATTTGATAGCACAGCTTAGTTTATTGTTTCTAGTGACCTGGGCCCTCTGCAAATCATGTCAAATCTTAATACTTGGCTTGCTGTATTGATAGAACAACACAATCTAGACTCAAAAAGCACACAAAAGCATATGGGTCATCCACTCAGTCCTCAAAGGAAGCAGAGGACAGTGGAGGTGTGCCTGGCCCCTGGTGGATCACAAATCTCATCATCCAGCAGCAGTTCAGTCAGAGTTCCCACTTAGGACTTGTAACTAGTTGATTTTGTAGACAGTGCTGCTAAACCTCCCTGTTCTGTGATGGGGTCAACACCACCTGTTTGGCAGGGTGCCTGGAACCTTCAAGGCCATTAAGGAGGCACTGCTCAGCCTGGTGCCCGGAAACCTTGAGGATGGTAGGGAGGGGAAGAAGAATCTGTTTACTTTGTCTACTTGGTGTGCAGGACTTTTAGGGCCTCATAATGAGGGGAAAAGGGACTAATACACAATGAGCTCAGTCGCAGAAGATGGCTGTTTGCCTTGTAAAATGGCATTAGTTATGCCCTGTTGCCAGAGGTTGGGAGCAGAGAGTGCTGGTCACAGTCTCAAACTTAGTAGCAAAGTTACTGTTTCTGCTCCTGCAATGCCAATGACATTAACAAATTTCATTTTTGCTGCTGACTTAGAAGCAGATTGTGTTACTTGCTTGTGTGTATTGTCCTTATTCATGACATAAAAGAAACACTGTGTGCAAGAGTGCTCATTGTAATCTGCCCCTACTGAGATGGACAGGGCTTCTCCTTGCTCAAAATATAGAAGCAGCAAGCAGAGAACCTTAGGAAAAACTAATGTTGATATATTCTTGTCTTTTCTTTAGATATTTCTTACAGTATCTGCTACTTTGAATGCCAGTATGTTCTCTAAAGAGCAAATGAAGAAAATTACCATCATGTGTCCAAACTTAAAGAGAGAAAGAAACCCTGACATTGATGGCTTTGAGAAACTGACAGGAGATTTTACAGATATTGAAAAAGTTTATCGCTACTTTGAGGGTATCCTTGCAGGCAATGAGCCAAACCATGATTTTTCTCATTCTGAAAGTCAGAATGGTTTGAAAGGTGAAAATGGTCTGAATACTGAAGAAATGAATGATCTTACAGTTTTGACAGCTCTCTATGAGTATTTTAGTCATACCCGCAAAAGAGAAATCAAAGAACTACATGAACGTTTTGGAGTGCGTATAAGAAGTAAAGACAGTCACGATGGAACCACATCAATATACTTTACTTCTGATAAAAGTCCAGCATCATTACAAGCAGCTAGTGATTTTTTTATCAGTACTTTCCAGAGAAGTGTAGGAGATCTGAAACAGGAAAAAATTCCCATAACAAACAATTGCCCATTAGGGGAGACAATAATGAAATTGAATGAAAGGTTTAGTAATCTTCTTGCTAAAGCGGAAGGGAATCAGTTCCTACTCCGTGGTCCAGAGAGTGAGATTTTAGCTGCCAAAAGATTTCTAGCAAAGGAAGGTAAGAACAGCCAAGCTGAAAAGAATATGAAAGTATCATCTGTACTGTACAAATATAGGGATGAAATTGCAGTTGATGCTTCTGTGTTTAAATTGTTGGAAACCGTATTAAAGAAAGAATTTGAAAACATTGAAGACAAATTTGATACAAGAATAGAAGTCAAAGACCATTCATATGACCAGAAGATGCTTATACTATTTAGGCCTAAGATCCAAACTTTTGATATGTCATCACATGCTACTGAAAGTTTCATCAATGCATTTCAAAGTGCCTCTGCAATGTTAAGAGAAAAAGTCATCAGCCTGAAGCTTTCAGAAGATCAGAAAAAAACTTTAAATATGCTACTCAGAGAAAAACAATTGGAAGGTCTTCATGTAAAACTTAAAAAGAAGGAAGACAAATTAATCTTAAGTGGTTTGCTAGACCATCTTTATGCTGCTGAAAAGCGCATTATGAACCTTCTTAACATTGAAGACTCGACACAAACCAAAAATAAGGCACCACTGGCCTCTGATCTCAGCTCTCAAGAAGCTACAGGAGCACTTAAGAAAACACCAGACGTCAGGCAAAAGAATAATCTTACTCCTGAAGGACAGGCTAAGGCAAAGACAGAAGAAAAAGACAATGATGAGTGTCCAATCTGCATGGACAGAATTAAGAATAAAGAAACACTGAAAAAGTGTAAACATGCATTTTGCAAAAGTTGCATCGACCAAGCCATGACTATTAAGCAAGTTTGTCCTGTTTGTAATACCGTCTACGGAGTCATGAAAGGAGACCAACCAGAGGGAACAATGTCAGCTAGACACATGTCGTTCTCTCTTCCTGGTTATGAGAATTGTGGCACTATCGAAATTAGCTATAGTATGAAAGGTGGTGTTCAAACTGTAAGTATGTTTAAAGATTCCTAAAAGATATTTTTCCCACAACAAAACCAATATTGAATATAAAATTAACTATTTTCCCATTATTTTAATTCAAGTCCAGGAAAGACCTTTCTTTGGTCTGTATAAATCTGCGAGTAGTTAATTCAGTGTTTTAGGTGCAATTAAGTCATATAGTAGGAATTAAATGGTCAGATGGTGGCCCTCCATTTTATATGCACCAGGACAGAGCTACCTGTCTTTAATTTGTACCTTGGAATAACTGAACTGAAATCTGTGGAGTGATATCATGTAAACAAGGTTTTGTGAGTATAATGATTCTCTGGGGCATTCTCTTCTCTGTAAACACCAATGGACAAAAATGAATAGCAGGCTGGCTTGTAAGCTTTCCAGGTGAGAAATTAGCATTTGTTATGTGCTTGGATTCCTGACTAGGACTGAGGATGGAGTAAATGAAAAAGTCAGGGGTACAGTGACATGCACTGGGGAGAGGAAAGAGGGAAAAAACAAATCTAAAAATGACAATGGATGCATGAGTGATGACAATGAAACTTACGTGAAAGAAAGTATCTGATGAAAAAAACCTCCCCAAGATCAGTCATCAGTCATGCTATATCCTTCTGAATAAAAGGCAAGATTAAAAGTATTCTGAAAGCTGGGATGTATAATTTTCATGCTTTCAAAGCATTTGTGATATACAATGTGTTTTTGTTTTGTTTTTCTACAAAACAGAGCAACCATCCAAACCCAGGGCAACCTTATCAGTCGACTTACCGGGCAGCATATTTACCTGACAATGTGGAAGGGCGACAAATTCTGGAGCTCCTCAGAAGGGCCTTTGACCAAAAACTGATTTTCACAGTGGGGCAGTCACGTACTACTGGTGCACAAAATGTTATCACATGGAATGATATTCATCACAAAACTGCCTTGACTGGAGGGCCTACCAAGTAAGTAGTCTTCTCTTTATATAATATTATTGCTACTCAGATGAGTCAGGAAGGCTGCCCTGAATATTTTCCATATTAGAGCTTTCAAATTTTGTCACTAACAAAGTGATTGTGAAATGCTCTGTGGATCCAAACATGAACCACCCTCACCTATTTGGACAGATGGAACAAGGATGAACTTAGTCTTCTGTTGCCCCTCAGGCCACTCAATCACCAGTGAGTTGTGTAAGGCACTTAGTTAATAACTGCTAATAACTAGAAATTACTTCTAGTATAGGACTGAACAGCAAGCTCTTGATAGCACCTAAGGTTGGGCTCCTGCTCTCAGCCTCTCCTGTTACCTGCTCTTTGGCACAAGGAGGTGCTGGTCCATTATGATCCCAGTAAAGATTGGACTCAGACTTTGTAAAATATGATTTGAAATTCTACATAACGGAGCTAGCAGCAAAAAGAAAGAGATTGTAGTATAGATATGGTCATGTCCTTTTAGGTGGTAGGAACCATGAGTTGTGCAGCATTTAGTGGGTCTCTGATCAGAACACAGGACATTGTGCTGGCCCCATCCACAGAAAGGGTTACCTATTTTGGTCTTTCAAGCTATCACAGGATTTTCTGACTAGATGACAACTCTATTCAGCATTTCTTGAGGACTCGCTGCACTTCTAGATAAAGGCAAGGACATGCGGATGGAGCAATCACTGGTACTGAGTAGGAGCTGCCCGCAGCAGAGACATGAGGGAGGTTTGGATCAGCCCTTCGTGTCCTTCCAGGGCTTGTTGCAGCCTCTGAGGGCCAGGTGTTGTCCTGCAAGCTCTAAAGGTTTGTGTCTAGATCCTCCTGACTGGGCTAGGATCATAAAAGAGCAAAAAGTATCAGTTTCACTTTATCCCCCACTCTACACAAATTCTCTCCCTGGTTATCACCTGCTTCATACACACCTCTGGTGATGCACTATTTAAAAATCCAGAGGTGCCATTATGTTTCTGATTTGAATGCTCATTTGGATACGCTTTGGATCTGACTTTTCTTTTTAGAAAGATGTACACCCAAATACCCTATCATTTTGAAGAGACACAGCAGGCAGCTTTGAAAATCAAATTCTTACTGTCAGTTTGGACAACAAAATGCAGCAGCTCCTTAAGTTTGTAGCTTTACCCTGTCAGTACCACTTCTCTGACCAGCAGTATGGGGTCTGTTTTCTCTGTAGGGCAAGAAGTGCATAAAACTTTTGTAAAGAGATTTATGAAAAGATTTTGATGGGAAGATTCTGTAGAACTTTCAAGTGCTTCATTGCAGAAGTAGCTCAAACAATTGTTTTCTTCTCCTAGTTTTGGTTACCCTGATCCTGGTTATCTGGAGCGGGTTCGATCAGAATTGAAAGCAAAAGGAATTGAATAAAGAAATGTATCAACTGTCAACTCGTAGTGTAATAACTGAACATATAACAGTCAATTTACTATTCAAGCACTAAGAGGAGAGAAATTACTTTGTTCAAGTGTTGTACCTAAATCACTTGTATTTTACACTCAGGTAAGAAAAGTAATCTTTTATCATCAAACAATATATGTTCTTTTCACAAATCATTTACTTTTCTATATGTGTAGCCTTTACAGAATCTAGGTTTTGTGAATGTAGTATCAGTACTTGTTGCATCTGTTGAATATCAAATATATCAAATTGTTCATATTGCTTTACTGGTGATTCTGATCTCCACTTTTTCCCACTTCTTCAGTCTGACTGCCAAAACCATTAGATCCAGTACTGGCTTTTATTAGATATAGTTAACTTCAGTAGAAACACTTAATGTTAGCTTTGTGTTATTATGTCTGTCACTGTGAACAACATCATGCAACCCATCGAATAGAAAATTTTCATGCAGCTGCTACAGTGTCAGCTATAATCAGGCTATGGACTTCTGCTTATTTTCTTTTTCATGGTAGAAATGTCATTAGTGGTTTGGGTTTTGCACATGGAATTACCGTGGCTCATGTATGAGTGGGTACATGGATACTGCTGTATTCTTAGCTCTGTGAAGTGATGAGTGCTCAGAGTCACCTTGAAGCAAATGAAAAGTGTATATGGCCATCTCTGATAATGGGCTCCTGGGTCTGTGTCCGCCTTTGTGCTTAAGCTTAAATACAACTTCTAAATCAGCTTTGCAACTGTACAACTGTATTCTTCCCATTGATTCCAATATAGGTTTAAATTGTATCATAAAGTTACTCTGCAGTGCCTAAACAACCTGCTTATTACCTGTATGGTGGTGTGTCACAAACACAGACATCATTTCAGTGAGTTGAACCATTTTTGTAAGGCTACTAAGTACAGCTAATAAAGAAAATATAAAAATACTATCTGTGTGTTTCTGTATTCTTCTGTACACAATTTTTCTCCTTCTTGTGATACATATAGCTGTATATTTTTTAAAACATAGGAACTTCCATGCAACACCGTGATTTGGGGTGATTTGGACTCCATGCCACCTCCTTTTTTTTTTTTTAAATTCCCACATCATGAATAGGCAGTACTACTTTACCATCTCAACTTTCATATTTAGTAGTATTGGGCACTGTTTGGTTTCCACGTGGGTTGGGATATCCTTACAGCTCTGGTTTTGTGTTCCTGTATTTGTTGTAACATTTTACACTATTCTGTGTTCCCCCCCTTTTCTATGCAGTAAGATAGCAACATTCCAGTTGTTTCTAAGTGCCTGAGCTTTTCTGCACGCTGAAACAAGCTGCTGTGCTTTAACCCCAGCCGGCAACTGCATAACATGCAGCCACTCACCCCCCAACCCTGGTGGGGCGGAGAATCGGAAAGGCAAGGTGAACCTTGTGCACTGAGATAAGAGCAGTTTAATAATTGAAATAAAATAAAATATACTAATACTAATAATTGTAATGGAAAGGGGGGAGGACAAAATAAAACCCAGGAGAAAAAAGTGATGCACACCACAGTTGCTTACCACCTTCTGACCAGCCTGTCGCTGAGTAGCAATCACCCCCCCCAGCTGACTCCCCCCAATTTCTATACTGAGCATGATGCTCTGTGGTGTGGAATATTGGCCACTTTGTGTCACCTGTCCTGGACATGCTCCTTCCTGGCTTCCTGTGCACCTGCTCGCTGGCAGAGCACAGGAAACTGAAAAGTCCATGACTTGGGGTAAACATTCCTCAGCAACAACTAAAACATCAGTGTGTTATCAGCATTTTTCTCATACTAAATCCACAACACAGCCCTGTACCAGCTACTAAGAAGAAAATTAACTCTCCCAGACCAGGACAGCTGTGAAGATCAAATCTCCCTGGCATCTTTTGGTCTCTCATTTCACTTTCTGTCTCATTAAGCTGTTTCACGGTGCCACACCCCTATCCAATTCAGGAAGGATATTGAGGTCCTGGAGCAGGTCCAGAGGAGGGCAAGTAGGCTGGTGAAGGGACTCAAGCACAAGTCCTATGAGGAGAGGCTGAGGGAGCTGGGGCTGTTCAGCCTGGAGAAGAGGAGGCTCAGGGGAGACCTCATCACTCTCTACAACTACCTGAAAGGAGGTTGTAGCCAGGTGGGGGTTGGTCTCTTTTCCCAGGCAACTATCAGCAAGACAAGAGGGCATGGTCTCAAGTTGTGCCAGGGGAGGTTTAGGTTAGATATTAGAAAGAATTTCTTTACAGAGAGGGTGATCAGACATTGGAATGGGCTGCCCGGGGAAGTAGTGGATTCTCCATCCCTGGAGATATTTAAAAAGAGACTGTGTGTGGCACTTAGTGCCATGGTCTAGTAACTGCAGCTGTAGTGGATCAAGGATTGGACTTGATGATCTCAGAGGTCTCTTCCAGCCCAGCTGATTCTATGATTCTGTGATTCTATGATTCAATAACTGACTGCCTCCCATTTTGTCTGTGGCAAAGTTTGCAGGCTGATTTGTGCAGCAGAGTCCTGTTGACTGTCACGGAAAGCTCCCAAGCCTTTATCCTATAACCAGCTGTATAGACCTTTACTTCCTAATCGTAGCTGTACAGTTTAGGAATAAATGTACTTGATTTGTAATCACAGTCAGGAATTGTGCCTGAGTTACAGCAAGGGAGGACAGCATGTAACTGGGCTTGTTGTGGACAGAACAGTGCATTAGGAAACAACAGATTAATCCGTTGCCCATTGAGAAACAAAGGCATTCCCATAGACTGCTCAGCAGTGTGTCTGATGATACCTTTTCTTAGCTGGCATCCACCCATATTGATCATATTTAATGACATTTGGTTATTTATCCATTTTCTTAATGAACTTTCCATGACGTTAGGGAGGAAAAATAATTTATCTGCTATTTTAGTGTTACATTACTAAAATACACAGCATGAAATAGCTGAGAACTGTAAGCTTTGAAAGGGAAAGTCCTGAGCACTCAGTTGAAAATGTCTCAGCTAGCCGTCACATTGGTCTGAGGAAAATACTCTTTCGTTGCAATCTTGCACAGTTGTAGAAGCTTCTCTGACAGAGAATCATGAAAACGGGTAATTTTACTTTGGGTTACGACTTGACTTGAAAGTTTAAGGCAGGGAGAGCGACTGTTACCCAGTGCGTGACCATTAGGTCCGGCGTTGAAAACACTGTACTTGTGATACCTGTGGAGGCATAACGGGCAGTGCAGCCCGGCAGCGCTCCGCGGGCCGTGAGAGACCGGTCCTGGCCCCCGGCCAGCCCCGGGACCGGGGGAGCCGCCTGTTCCCGCCACTGGGCGGAGCCCGGCGCGTCGGGTTTCCTCGATGAAGAAATGAAAGCGAAAGCGGCGGGGAGCGGAGCCGTCGGTGCGGCGATGGCGGGGCAGCGGCCGGGCGCCTTCCCGCTGCTGGTGCGCGGGGACTGGGGCTCCGCCGAGCCGCCGCCCGCCCTGAAAAAGAAGCTGCTCTGCTACTTCCAGAGCCAGAAGCGCTCGGGAGGCGGCGAGTGCGAGCTGCGAGCCGGGACCGACGCCGAGACCGGGACCGGGCACCTCCTCGTCTGCTTCGCCCGCCCCGAGGGTGAGCGGCCGGGCCGGGCGGGTCGGGGTGCTGATGGTGCTGCCCGCGGTTCGGAGGGGCGGGGAGCGCCGCATCCCCCATGACCGGTGCCTGTTGTGTTGGCAGTGAGGCAGCGGGTGCTGGACCGGCGAGTCCACGAGCTCGAGTGGGGGCCCGGCGGGCGGCTGTCGCTGCAGGTCACCGCGCTGCCCGCAGGCGGCGACTCCGCGCAGGTGAGACGGGCGCGGGGCCGGGCGGGCGGCGGGCGAGGGGCCGCCGGTGACCGCTCTCCTCTTGTTCCCTTGCAGGAGGAGGGACGGGCCGGCGGGGCCGAGGCGCCAGGTAGGGGCAGCGTGGGACGCGGCGCGGGACTGAAGCGCCTGGGGCTGGCGGGGCACTGGCCAGGGGAGCCCGGGCAGAGGAACGGGGATGGGAAGGGAGGCGGAGCGGGGATGGGGAGATCTGCATTCTGGTGCTTGGCTGGGCCGGGCGAACAGCGCTCTAGCGCTTTGATTCCCCTACCCTGCGCTCTCCCTCATTTCCCGCATCCCAAAACCGACGTATTTCCTAAACCGCAGCCCGCGAGCCAGCCCGCAGGCACCGCACAGACCCACTGCTCTGGCTAGAGGGGCTAATACACACACAGCTAATACACCAGCTAATCAATACCCACCCGACTAATGAATACACACAGAGCTAATACACACAAGGTTAATACACACACACAGCTCCTTGACCTATTTGTGCACAGGTGGGAACTGAGGGCGCAGGGTGGAGAAGCAGTTTGGGTGATATCACCTTATCTTTTGTTTTCTAATTTAGTTGCATTTCTTCCTGTTCTAAACTAGCAAGTAGATCTGTTGTGTAGAGTCAGAACACATCATAATAGAGGCTTTTCCAGAGATGCCAGTTTCCAGATGTGCTTCCCTCCCAAGGGGAGATGTCCTTGGCACTTCTCATGTTCAAGGCAGTTTTTGTGTGAGGACAGTGTGTAGTGCATGGGAGGACGTGTTCACGGTGGTTCACTCAGCATGACCGTGCACTAGTTTGATTTTTAACATTATGCCTGAGCCTTCTTGAGCTCAGAGTATTTCTGCAACCAATTCAACATACATTTTAAAAAGAGGAATCTATGGAAGTCTGGGATTCTGGCAGTGTCAAATGAAACTTACTTCAAGCTGTGTTAGGTCCTGGGTGTACACGAATGTGACCTTTTTCTTCTTGAAGTACCCAGTAACTGAGAAATCATTGTCATTTATCTCTAGTTAATGAACCCCAGGTGTCTCTTTCCACCTGCCAGAGTAAGGAGACTCCTGTGTGTACTCTGCAGGAGAAGGCAGGTAAGTGTGCCACTTATCCAGCGGTGACCAGTGTATTCTTGCTTCTTTGGTTTTCATGGACCTTCCTGCTGTGGTAGTGCCCTGGTCAGCCGTGTGGCTTGTGGTGTTTGTCTAATGTAGTGTAGGAATTGTGATCTCAGACTAAAAGAAATAAATGGGTTTTTTCCTTTGTGAGTCCCTTTAAAGTCCCCACTTCAGTGGCTGCCTCAGTCAGGTCAGTTCCTTTGGAAACAGCGGTAGATGCTGGCCTCTGTTCTGGCTAAGGCTGTCCCTTCCCAGACCTTCCCAGATGCTCCCAGCCCTCCTGGGGCAACCTGTGCCGGAATATCAGTATCTTTGTACCCCAGGTACACCTGAGCTACTGTGGCAGCTAGCGCATGTAGACCCCATGTACCCACAGCAGTGGCTGGAACTGTGAATGGAGAAAGTGCCCAGGCAGAAGAGCACTGGTTCCCCTCATTGTGTGTTTGTGCAGAAAATTTTGTAGCCTTTACTTCTGCTGTCCTTGCCTGGTGCTGAAGTGAAGCATTTTTTCCTCACCTGTTGTTATGGCAGCTCCCACTACTGATATGCTTAACTTGTTTGGAATTCTTACTCTGTTCTTTTCCCTGACCTTATGTGTGGTCTGAACAAGAAGTGGTGTGAAAGCTTGGAATATAAGAAGCTTGGTATTTTTCTTAACTTTTGCCTAAGGCATTGGAGTGTGATCTTTTTTCCAGAATCATGTGAGAAATTGGAAGAAGAAGAAGCGACCTCTAGGAAGTCTGTCATAGTAGTAACCACTGCCTCTGGGGAAGAAATAGAAGATGAGATTGTGGAAATGTACTTCGAAAATAAAAAGAAGTCTGGTGGGGGAATCATCGAGTCCTATGTCAAAGAGGATCAGCGAATTATCATCACCTTTGAGGATGAGCAAGGTATGCTTGCGTGTTATGGCTGTTATACTGCTAAAGTTCCCTTTTTAAAATAGGCCTTTGCTGGTGCTGGATCTCTTTGTGGGCATTGCTCCAAGCAGAAATGGTGTATTGTTTTTATTATTTAATATGGTCTGCTGTGGGAAAGGGAAGATCACATCTTTGGTTTTTTTCCTGTGCGACTAGATGCCCAGGAAGTTTTGCAAAGGAAGCATCACAAGGTGAAGAAAATTGATCTGTTCGTGAAACCGTGGCAAGGGGACACTCTGCAGGAGCCGTGCCAAGCGGAAAACTCTGAAGGATCCCTGCCTTCCACCTCAGTTGTGCTGGAGAATATGAAGGAGACAGTAAAAGATTGCATGGTTATTATGCTGGTCGAGAACGTCAGCGGCTTGTCAGAGGATGATGGTGACTTCAGTGTGGAAATGATCCCTGAGTTACGTGCTGCTGTAGTTACTTTTACTGCAAATACTGGTAAGAAGGAGTCGGAGTTGAAGCTCTTTCTTATTAGCTACTTGTTTGCATGTGTGTGTGTGAGTGAGACTAAGCAAGAAGTGAGTGTTTTCTGTCATATTTTTAAGGTTTGTTCTGATATTGTGTCCTTTTAAAGTCCTTTTAAAGGAGGACTTAACGCTACTAAAGTAATGCCATACCTTTTATCTGTAAGGTGTAGAGGCCAGTGAAAGTCAGATGAGAGCTAGCTCTGATTTGGATAGTAAACAGAACAAGTAGAACTAAAACCAAACTATAACTTAGAACAAGCAGTGAAGGATGTACTTGGTCTGAGAACAGTTTGATGACAAAGGTTGTCCTTGACAAAAGGTTTTACATGTGTGGTAAGTTCGTATGGATTACAAGAAAATTGGACAAGTATGTGGAGCAGAGGTTTTTAAGGTTATTAAGCAGACTGTGTCAGGCTGGAGAAGTGTACTGTCATAGACTGGAAGCTTGGAGAGAGTTGAGGAAGCAGCATCTTCTTACAACTTCTCTAGATGCCTGCTGTGGCCATTGCTGCGGATGGGATACTGGTACCCTGGGATGCTGAGGCAAGTCCAGCTGTCCTTACAGAGTGGCAGCACCAGTTATGTGAAGCATGGCACTAACACCACATGCATTGCCTGATGCTGTGGTACCAGTGAGTTGTTAAGCTAATATGTGGTTTTTAGTGTGTTCAATACCATACACTTTCTTTTCGATCTTATTAACGATTGATGACAAAGGCATCTTGCAGGTGATGGAGAGGTGTCTGCTCCTACTTCCCACAGTGAGGGACTGGGGAGACTTTCTGGTGGACTTATGGTTGATTTTATTATCAAATCCCATCCCAGGATTTGGGCAAAAGTAAGTGGTATGAAAAGACTGGATCCAGAAAGCTTATCAGCCAAATGTCATGGCTCTTGTTGCAGAGAGAGAACTGAATTAAACTGACAGTGGTGAACTGGCTTCAGGATTCTTTCAGTGCTGCTGTGCTGGAGTCCTTTTAGGGACAAGATGACTTTACATGTGCTTGATTCTGGGTGAGAAGGTGGGACAGGAAAGAAGAGAGAATTGAGTCTTACATATGGAAAAATTCTAAATTTGTAGAAGATAGAATGTGGTGAAAAGAAGTTATGTATCACTTTGAATCAACTTAGAGATAATACTGGTATTATTGGTAATATATAAAAATGAAGTTGCTGAGAAATCTTAGTTGTGAAGGGATTAGTATGTGGTTTAACTAAACCAAAGAATTTTTTAGCTTCTGAGAAGGTGTAGATTTTTCTGCCTTAGAAATCAGCAATTATTTGTCTCTTATGTTGTGGTCCAGTCCTAAATTTTTGGTGTAGCCTTTAGGAAATAAAAAACTTAACTGTTTTTCCCTGAAAGATGTAAAAGTGATTTGACTGTCCTTTAGTGTGATGATAAGAGGGGAGGAGTAGCCAAAAAGAAAATGTATTTATCATAAAACTGAGAGAATTTGAACTGTTGAGTCATGTCTGATTAGTTGTGTACAAAGCCATAGCCCAAAAATGAACCTGATCTTGTTTCCTTCTGGGGTTAAAGAGATCCAGTTCTAGTCAGCAGGAAAACTAGTGGCAAATTCTGGGTGCAGTCATTGTGGTCAACAATTATGATCAACCATGAGGGGAATACTGGGTGGCAGATACCGAATATGTGGAAAGAAGTAGCTTTGTGGGCACCTCTGAGTTGATTTTGTAATTCAGTGCTTTGATCAATGCACACAGTGATAGTCTGCTAACACCGAGATAGAAAAGCAAGCTCCAAGTTGGAACTTGTTTTTATTATTTTCTTCTCCTTTCTCTTCCTAGATACAGGGGAATTTGCTAAAAAGGTTAATCAAAACCACAGAGCAAAGCAACAAAACATTACTGCACGGTGCCTTGAGCTAACAAAGAGCATTAGGGCTGAAAATATACCACCCAACACATCCAGTGACTATATAACCATCTACTTTGAAAATAAGAGGAACGGAGGTGCACAAGTGATGGATGTTCAACAGCTGCCTGATGAAGATGCAGCTATCATTACATTCAGTGACCATAAAGGTAATGCAGAAATGCAAAGCCCTTATTTCTTTGAGAACTTCTTATTTAAGGATCAAAATGTGTATTTTCTAGAGAATTGTCTCCTTTGCCCTCATAAAACAGCAGATCTGGTGCTTTGTCAGCAGGTCTCTGCTACCTGTGCAAGCCTCAGTTTTGGGCCAGCTGGGCATGAGGCATAGAACTGTTTCCTTTTTCTGGACAGCTTATTTCACCCTGGCACTGATCCTTATAGAGTTCAGGTTGCAGTTTGAGTGCAGGGGACTTTCCCTCCAGCCTGCCACCTTCACCACCAGCTGTCCCATGGCAGTGTGTGCTGTCTGGGTCATCAGGGGATAATGTCTTGGGCAGCTTTTTTGGCTGGAGAGTAGGTGGTGTGGCTTGTCCAGTCAGTGACAGAAAGATGAGTGGAAGGTGAAGGACAAGAGGGAAGCTAGAGCCACTGCAGTGAAGGGGAGAGCTGAAGGGAAGTTGAAAGAAAGAGATGCTCTTTCTGTGGGAAAATGGAGGAGCTGAGGTTTGATACTGCTGAGTATAACCCAAACAACTGCTGAGCTGGGCACTTTAAGTACAGCATATAAGAGAAGTGGGGGCAGAGACTGTGCATACCTCCTCCCAGAAGTAGACTGTGTTGTGCTTGACCTTCTCTCTCCAACTTAGTTTCTGGCATTTAAAATAAATAATTCTTCAATAATTTGGAATTATTTCTATCTAGGGAGGGAAATGAATCTAAAAATGTTCTTAGAAATAACAAACATTATTATTTAGAAAACATAGTTTAAAAAAACCCAAACAACAAAAAGAACACAGAAACAAAACAGAAGATCTTAAATACTGACATTAATAGTCTGGGGTTTTGTTTGTTCGTTTTAGATGTAACAAATATCCTGGCAAAGAAACATACATTCAACAAAACGCCAATCTCTGTCTATCCTTACTACACCTCGCTGGGAACAGCTCTATATGGAAAGGAAGGGCCACAGATAAAGAAGCCAGATCCAATTACATTGCCTCTGGACCCCTATATCTGGAATTATTTGCAAAAAAATAGCAGCCTCATTGCGGCTATAAATTGTGAAATGGCAAAGTGTAATTGTGTGCCAGCGTGGCCTGAACCCCACTGTGCAGACCCAAAAGTTTCCTTGCATCCTTCAGCTGTTTTGTCTGAGCGGAAAAGATCAGTTTCTCAGTTGGTCAAGGCATGGAAGGAAAATGTTTCCGCAGCCTTTTCACAAAGCATATCAAAGTATGAAGCAATTCAATATCAAGTAAGCGCAGAGGTGTGGGAAGCCATTAGAAACAGCTTTCCCTGTGATGAAGTTCTGATGATCCCATGTATTTCCAAGGATTTACTTGTTCTAGTGGGAGAAAAAGAAGTTGTGAATAAGGTCAAACAAGAACTGAAGGTTCTGATTGAAAAGGCCATCAGAGAAATTGAAAGAGAAAAGCAAAGAACTGAACAAGTGGTGACAGTGAGTCCAGGGGAATATGGAATTTTACAGGTTTCTGGCCTGGAAGAAAAATTTCGTATGGAGTTCCCAGGTCTGAAAATAACTTACGATTATTTGCAGAAAATAATTAACCTATGTGGTGTGCCTGAGGAAGTTTATAAAGTAAAAGGGGAAATATTCGATACTATGCACAAAATGGTAAAGAAAACAGTTAATATCCACCCTTACATTTTCCAGTTTTTAGAGCATATTGATAATGAAACCCTATCACAGAGTCTGTTTATGTCAAAACAAATTAGCGCCTTTTATGAGCTTGGCACAGGAGCTGTCATCTTGAAAGGGAGTACTCCTGAAGATCTCCTAAAAGCAGAAGAAGAAATAAAGAAGGAACTGGACTACAAAAGCATTGCTTTGGAGGACGAGTCAGTCCTCCAGGAGGAGAAATGGCAGATGCTCACCAAGCAAAACTGCTCTAATGACGCTGTAACAGTCACTCAGGCAGGGAGTCAGGTCATCATTGCTGGTTGTTCTCAAGCAGTAGCAAAAGCCTTTGAGGAACTTTCCAGCTTTATAGATGAAAACACACAGGTACAAAGAGTCATCGGAGGAAAGCCCATGGCGGTCATAATGTTTTTTGAGAAAGAGAAGGTTGATGTTTGGGGTGGCTTACTGAGAAAAGGTGTGAAAGTTGACTTTAGCACACAGAAAAAGTGTAGAGTTATATCCTTGAGTGGATCGAGGCCAAAAGTGCTGGAAGGAGTCAACTTAGTTGAGCGAATTCTAGCTGGCCTGTACTATAAGCGTGTGGTAATTGGAGCACCAGGAGCCAAGTCATATTTCAAAGAGCACGAACGGGTTTTGGCCTCCCATGCAAAACAAGAGTTTAAATGTTTAGTCCGACTGGAAGAGCACTCAGAAGAGCACCTGGAAGAACAGCAAGAACATAGTAATGAAGGCAAGCCCTATATGCAAGTGACCATGGGTGACATTGTAATAGCAGTTTATAGAGCTGACTTATGCACTCATTCTGTTGATGTTGTGGTGAATGCATCTAATGAAGACCTAAAGCACATTGGTGGCCTTGCTGATGCACTGCTAAGAGCTGCTGGTCCAGCACTGCAAGAAGAGTGTGATGAACTGGTGAGGAAGAACGGGCATTTCCAGCCTGGGAACGCAGTTATCACGGGCGCTGGGAAACTCCCCTGCAAGAACGTCATTCATGCTGTTGGGCCCAGGTGGAGGAAGGAGGATCCAGAAAAGTGCGTGGACTTGTTGAGGAAGACAGTGAAGAAATGTCTAGAACTAGCTGAAACATACAATTGTTGTTCCATAGCTCTGCCTGCTATAAGTGGAGGGATTTTTGGCTTTCCACTGGAACTGTGTACATATTCAATTGTATCCTCTATCAAGGAGACCTTGGAAGGATCCATGGGGGACAGCAGCTTGAAGGAGGTTCATCTTGTGGATATTGTACAGGATAACATTCAGGCTTTCAGCAAGGCACTTAGAGAAGTGTTTCCAGATTCTTCACCTTCCTACAGGTCCCTGCATCAGACCAGTAAAATTCCTCAACCTAGGGAGCGCAGAATTTCTCAAAAAAGCAAGAACTTACCTTGCATAACAACTGAGGAAGGCCTCGATATTGTGCTGCAAACAGGAAGCATTGAAGATGCTACAGTAAGTGTTTTAAATTATCTGCCATTGAAATACCAAGTGGGGTTTTTTGTGTTTTTTTTGAAACACAAAACCAATAAATGACCAACCCTAGACCATTATCTGTAATTAGCAACACTGCCATGTTTGACATGTTGCTGAAATTGGCTATCACTGCTGATAACAAGAAATGCTGTTAGGTGACTGTCTGACATGGTAGATACAGATGGCTGTGCAGCATTGCATTTTATCATCTAGTCCAACCCCAGGTAGGGTCCTTTGGAGCATGTTACTCAGGATTGTGTCCAGACGGCTCCAGAGATCCCTGTGCACATGGTACGTTACAGTTTACCAGAAGCAACTGAGGTCAGCAGGAATTGGTTTGGGCTCCAAACCCTCCCGATCCTTCCTTGCTGGGCAGAAACCATCTTCAGGCAGCATTGACCTTTCCAGAAATCCTGATTATGAGAGTGTGGTACTAGTACAAAAGCAAAAGAGAGTGCTCAGTATTGGCCAACATGAGTACCTTGCTATGTGAGACTGGCTGATGCTTCCAGGTCCACTGTGCTCCTGCAACAGCAGAGACATTTACATCTGAGCCTGGGTCTATAGCCAGTCCTGTTTTCCTTGCATCTGTGGGATATTGGTCTGAGAAACTTTTATTTGCTCTGTCATTGGCATGAAACATGCAGTTACTATTGCATTTCCTGTGAAGAACCATCTTCACTAATTGATTTCCAGTTGCCTGCTGCATCAAAATTCTGTTAGCTGGCTGATAGCTGTTTTACTGAGATTGCCAATACTGGAAGCAACTCTGTTCAGAACTCTTTCCATAATGGACGGGAAGTCCTTTCAGGTGTGGATGCCTCCCACAGCTTGTGCATGCAGCTCTTCTAGTTGGACAGGACAGAATATATGTTAAAATGTGTACAGAGGTCCTTGCCAAGGAGCTGGATATAGGGCTTGACGAAATGTTCATAGGCCTTTGTATTTCTCTCATTTAGAAGTTACTTTTCTCACTTCTTTCTCCTTAAGTTTCCTCCAGTCTTGTTTGTCTTCAGGTTCTGCTTTTCCCATAGATCAGCCATGCATGGGAGTCCTGCCTACCTCAGTGAACATAGATTTTGGTCTGTGAGCCTCTCTTGGAGAACAAACTTGCATAAATGTTTTTCATGTGGAGGTAGAAAGAATAAACCAGGAATGCAGAATTTTAAGTGTCTCCCATCAAGCTGAAATGAATTTCATTGTTAACTCAACTTTTGTGTTTCTTTGGGTAGGCTCATGGTATTAGAATTGAGCATAACTTCTGTTTCATTCCAAACTTTGTTCACTCTGATTGCTGTCCCAAAAATTTACTTTGTAAGCCATCAGGTGGGCTGTTTTGATTAATCAATGCAAAATTTAAATTTAAATTTGATACATAAAAGGTACTTTTTGCTTGTGTGTTTTTCAGACATCAGTTGTTGTCATCAGTGTTGGCAAAGATCTCCAGCTTGATAAAGGGCCACTTGCTAAAGCTTTGCTAAGCAAGGCAGGGCCAATGCTTCAGACAGAGTTGAGAAAACAAGGCCTAGGAAGAGCTGAAGAGGGAGCTGTATTGAAAACAAATGGTTACAATCTAGACTGCAGTGTTGTGCTTCATGCTATTGTACCTGCGTGGTTCCAGAGAAAAACATCTTCACAGGTATAAGGTGTTTTATTGGCTGGAATTTGTCTGGGCTTTGTAGTGTGTTTAATGCCACTTTTCCTTTGAAATCAGGGACAGTGTCATAGAAGACAGGAGAGTTTGACCTGTTCTTTTTTAACTGCGGGGCTGATCTCTTGTTGATTGATGAATTCCTTGTGATGTATGCAATTAATTGTATTTTATTAGCAAGCTAAAAGGGAAAGTGCTATATTGCACATGCTGAAAAAAAAATACCTTTAGTAACTGAAAAAATGATTGTGCTTTACAGGTCTTTGGTGACATCATCACAAAATGTCTGGAAATTGCTGAAGAACTATCTTTAAAGTCAATTACTTTCCCAGCAATTGGGACAGGAAATTTAGGATTCCCAACCTTTATTGTTGCTGAATTATTGTTTGACAAGGTGTTTGAATTCAGTAGTAAAAATGGAGTAAATTCTCTTGAGGAAGTTCACTTTCTGTTGCATCCAAAAGACACAGCTCATATTCAGGTGAGTTACTCTGGTTTTCTTTCTCTATGATATCCTGGTTTATTTGATGATACTTGGCTGTCTGATGATCTTCAAAGAATCCACAGGGTGCTTGTTCTTACACTAAAGAAAAAGTTTGCTGATAGTCTCTCTTGTCTATACTGAAAGTTCTCATTTTGGTTCTGCTCGTCATGGTCACCTGCCTGTCCTGTACAGACCTGCTCCTTTCGTGTCCTTTTCTGTTTCCTGGCAGTAATACAGACAAAAATGTAATTATTCTTTATCTCATGAACTCACCTAATTCCTTAGTCAATAGGTCTTGACAGGTATATTGTAACTCCTGCATCAATGCCTCCACTCCTGAAAAAAAGGAGTGTTTTAGATGGAGTGCTAGTGTCTTTTTAGGAAAAATAATTGTGCTAGGTATGCTGTGCTGACAGACTTCTCCAGTAGAAACATCCCAGTATTCTGCATCCCCCTTTCTTTAGTATCACTTTAGCACAAATTTTCTATATACTTGCTCTAATTACTCATTTGACACTGAAAGAGAGCAGTCACACTGTGAATTAATGTCCAGATAAGTGTTTCTGCATCTGTTGGCTTCTGCTATTTTGTGAAGTAGCTAATACATTTTGAAAGACCAAACCTGAAGGCTACTGCATCAAAGCCTGAGCTGCTTATGTAGAGAGGGGTGGCATTACTTGGAAAAGCTAAGTGTAAACTAGCCCCTCAGTGTAAGGATGCCATCTCTTGCTCTATCCCTGTGGAATGGGGCTAGGCCTTTGAGTTACTTATTTGTGATTCTGCCTATTGTTCACGCTGAAAAGCCCTGCTCTCTGAGAACATGTGCCAGGCCTTGCCATCACATTATGGCAGATGGTATGAAGTAATTTGTGTTTAGCTCTTTCTTAATGTTTTTTAACTTGACTTTTCAAACTTTTATTTCTACTGTGTAAAGAACTTCTACAGGAGTTGATTGTAATTTCCTTCTCTAGGTATTTTTAGATGAACTTGAGAAGAGGTGTGGAAATACTGTAGGTGTTGAAATGCAGAAGCCTTCTCCAAATGAGGCTGGCCAAGGCACAGGTAAGCTTGTTTCACAGAAGCTACATGCCTAGTGGATTCTTTTATTCTTTAAAATATTTCAGGGAATGCATTCATAATGGATGTTTAGATATTTGTTCGGTGAGCATATAATTCCCAAACTCCAGGTGGCTGTATTTTCAGGTTGAGTTATGTCTGAAATAGTATTGGAGATGCTAAGAAAAAAATGTACCTATGTTTCCTTATCTGGATAGTGCCCCTACAAGTCGGGACAGCAGAAGCTATCATGTGCCAAGGGCACAAGCAGAGCTTTTTCTTTTGTTGCTGCAGCACTAGATTCGACTGTGAAGAGGTCAATGTCTTCCTATGTCCTGGGAAGGCAGATGAGTTCCTGGTTACATGTCTTAAAGTGGTCTCTTTGGAATACTCTTAAACCTTTTACATATTCAGATGAGTAGCAAAACCAAACTGAAATATCTTTGGTGTTATCCAGCTTAATGGAAATGCAGCCTGTAAAAAATCAGTTACATGTTGAAAACTTAAATAAAATTTTACAAATAACACATGGATAAAAAATTCCACCTGTCATGCAGTAGAGAAGCTGCCTGGAAACTCTGTGAGACAGAGGAGCAAAAGAGTAAGACTTGGAAAGTTTGCTGCTGTCTTACGTAGGGGTTTTACAAAGGCTTACACGGTGAAATGTCACTAAGTAGTGTCCTGTATTCCAGGTGTGCAGCAAAACACATTTTCCCTGCCATCCTGTCATGAGTAGAAATGATGGGAATAGTGCAGGTTGAGCAAAGACTCCTGTGAGAAGGGGTGGTTTTCAGTTAGCATGGCAGGCAATCCTCTCCACAGGCTGAGTCTGTAGCCAAACTGTGGTGTCTATAGGTGTTGTACCCATGAACAGGTCCCTTATCTTTTACATCATCACTCCCTTCTGCTCAGGGTCTGTATTTCTTTTCCTGCAGCTTTTTCTACTACCTCTTCAACCTCAGCACATAATTTACGTGAAATGACAATTGGCTCCATCGTGTTCCAGGTAGAAGAAGGTGATATTACCAAGGAAAAGGGAGATGTCATTGTAAACATAACAAACCAAACCTTCAACCTCCAAACAGGTATTTTAGTTGATATTGTGTGTGAAAACAGTACATGTGCTTGGAAGGGCTGGGAAAGGAGACAAGGAAGTATTTTCTTCAATGCTTCATACCCTTTTATTTTTTTTCACAGTGTGGTTTCTGTTTTGCTTCTTAGGGTACAAAGGTTCAATTAAGTACTGTCTGAAACTTTATTTTCTTGGTAATCTATGTTACAGGATGGCATGTTTAAGACTCTCTTGCAGAAAAGGAAACTAATAATTTTTTTTTTAATATAGAATCTATTTATAGAATACCTCTCAAACTAAAGGAGAAGACAAACCTCAGTGAGTCTTGACCTTGGGGAAACTTGTTGGGTACTTTAGACATCACTTTGTTGAAAAGTGACAGTCTAAAATTTTGGCAACAGTGCTTTTCAATGAAAACATTTACTGTTACTGGCATTGAGATATTTTTAGATATTATGTGGATGCAGTTCTGCCTCAGAAGGGACTTTAACAGCATTAACAGTAGTAACAGTGGATTCATGTACCTCTTCTCATTTAAGGTGTCTCAAGAGCAATTCTGAATGGTGCTGGAAAAGCAGTTGAAGTTGAATGTTGTCTACTAGGTATGGTACAACATTTCTGATCCTTCTGAAGGTGTTAATGCACGGCAGGGAATCTGCTGGAATAATTTATCAGTGTTGCCTACTGTACTTCCATCTGTATTATGCACTGTGTTACAGCAGCTATTTTTTAAATCAGTTAATGTAATATTTGTAAAACATCTAGTGAAGGAAGGAAAAGAAAAATCTTCAAGAGGAGATGCCTTCTGAACACATGTAAAGATCTAAATCTGTTAGTTATTACATCCTCTTATTCCAATTAAGCTTTCCATGATAAAAACAAAGAGTCTACATTGAACACAGCCGTGAGCAAGCAAGATGTTGTCAGAAATGTTAATAGACAAGCCATAAGTTACTGGAAACAACTGTCTACCTGCAACTCCTTTCGTTATTTCTGAGTAAGAAAATGTTTGCTTTGGCATAACTAGTAATCCACTACCACATCCTCTGTGTGACTACTTTTCAGTAGTGTGAAGCTGGGTTCCTGCCTCAGAAGAGGCATTTATTTGTAGACCAAATCGAGCTGGTGAACAGCAGCTATAATGAAAGGGAAGTAAGGATGGACAAGTATGTGGTTTAAAACCCCACAAAATAAAGGAAGTGGGAAAGATGAAGGTGTGGAGGTCAGCTTGGAAGACTAACCAAAGGAAAAGAATTATGTGGAGGCAATCAGGGGTAAACAAAGCTCTCTTGCACAGGCCAAGAGGGTAATTTGGGGGCTAGGCAGCCTAGGGGTGGATGTCATGCTGTTTGTGATAACAGAGTGCCTGTCTGCATAAAGTTCTCCAAGTCTGCAGAGCAAACTGGATAAATAAAGGCACACACAAAATTTATTTATCAAAAGAGGCACATATTTTACAAACATAAATTGAATCCTTGTGCCTTGAAAGTGAAAATAGAGAGAGGGAGTTGCTTACTCTATGGACAGAGACACGAAGCTTATCCTGGGGCATATTTGTCACCATTTCTTATTTCTTAATGAGGACTAGTACACATCTATATTGCGGATAATTGTTGATTATGTTCTACTACTTATTTCAGCCCAGAAACCTCACAAGAGCTATATCATCACCCAAGGAGGAAACCTGCCATGCAAAAAAATAATCCATTTTGTTGCCCAAGATGATATCAAGTTTCTAGTTTTCCAGGTGCTCCAGGAGTGTGAATTACAGGGGTGCACCTCTGTCGCCTTCCCAGCAATTGGAACAGGTCTGTGTCTCCCTTTTTTTGAAATGGGTTCAGTGCATATGATTCTGCTGATCTCAGGGCTCAAACAATGAGTTTGATTTATCTGGAGGGGTTATTATTTGGTGAAAATATATCCGGAAACTTCAATCTTCAAAACTGTTATTAGAGGTTTATGAAGAGCTAGAAAGCTTCACTCCTTGGAGACATTTAGTACATAAAGAGTATGAGTATTCTAGAACCAACACTTCCTTGCTAACAGGGATTCAAAGGTATGTCTGTGCTTCCTGGGGAACCTGCAGCCTGATATGTGTGCAGCTCAGGGAGAACAGCCAGGGAGCTACTTCTCCGTTGCTGAAATCAGTAGATGCAACTCTGCCTGGCAGCCACACAAGCAGGGTTGATGCAGGTGGAACATGAGCCAGACAAAAACGCTGGATTGTCCCTTTTTCTCCTCTTGTTATTTTCAGTTAGTTCGGTAGAAATCCATAGCATCAGAGAATCCAGAACTGTGCCCCATGCATGGGGTAACCCCTTGCATGAATAAAACTAGACCTGCATTTTGAGCAAGGAGTTGGTTACTGGGCCACTGAGCATCAGGCCCATGGCCTATTAGGTACCCAAGCTGTACAATCTACATCATAACCTAAATGGTTGCCATGCCAACAAAAGGAAACTTCCATTTTTCCTTTGCTGGAAAGGTGGTCTCAAACTTTTTTCTTATGATAAATAGAAACCTTTCCTAATTGCCTGCCTGACATTATTCTTGACCTGTTTATGATCCAAGTGATTGTGGGTATGTTCATAGCTGTTCTTGTAAAGATGTTTTAATAATTTGCAAATTATTAGCAGTTCTTAAAAGCAAAATATCTCTAACTTTTTTCAGGAGAGGCAGGCCGCAATCCTGCTGAGGTAGCTGACAAGATGATAGATGCAGTAACTGACTTTGCAAGAAGGAACTCTGCTGCAACTGTGAAAACTGTTAAAGTTGTCATCTTTCAGCCACATCTGCTGAGTGTGTTCCATACAAGCATGCAGAAAAGAGAAAAGCCTGCTAAAACACCAGTCAAATCATTTATTTCCAAGATAAAATGTAAGTACATATCACTTTAGTGCAGGTTATAGACCAATCTGTTTAGCAGCAGGTAGTAATGATTCATATTAATTACAATATTTATGTATTTCAATGTAGCATTCCGGAGCCCTGAGAAACGTTCCCCAAAGGAAAAAAACACAGGAGTTATGGAAAAGAAAATCGACCTGGCTGTTGTGCAAATTTGCGGTGAAATTAAAAAGGAAGTGGAAGAAACTGAAAACTGGCTGAGAAGTGCAATTTCAAAGGAACAGCTTCAGACAGAAATTGCAGATGACTCCATCTCTCATTTCAGTGAAGAAGAGAGAGAGGAACTGCGTCACCTACAAAAGAAATTAAAAATTTCTCTTTGTTTGAATGGTACCTCTATTGGAATTTCAGGTTTTGGGAAAGATGTCTGGATTGCTCATTCAGCTATTCAGAAAATGATCCTCAAGGTAAAAGCTACTAAACAGGAAGAGGTCCAAGCAAGACTTTTACAAAATTTAATTGAATGGCAATATTTTGAAGAGGATTCCTATGTGCCCTTTGATAGTCTTACAAATATGCAGTTGGAAAATGCTTACAGGGGAAAGCAGAAAAGTATTTCAGTCACCATTGGTGAGAAAAAATACACAGTGGATATGAAACTTAAATATGCTGTGGATGACCAAGGAAAGCAAACATCCATTAGACGTGTTGATAAATCTGAAGGTAAGTAAAAGCATCTTGACAAACTGAGGTTCCATGTGAAAACCAGGTTGCATCCAGCCTAGTAAGAGAAGGAATGGTAAGAATATTCAAAGTATTGTTAGGAGCTTTGCGCAGTTGCTTTTCTGGAGAATGTAGAAAGGAACTGAATTGGGAATTAAAAATAAAAGAACCCTGCAGTTTATTTAAAATATTTTGAAAAGTAGGTAATGCGTTCTGAGGTTCTTAACAAGCTTTCTAGCAATAATTAGGTGTTTGTAGCAGCTGTCATTCTAGCTCTCAGCTCACTTCTGTTTTTCAGATGTGTCTTTTCTATTTACTGCTGGTACTGATAAGGAGCTACCTCTTTCTGACTCATCCATAAGCAAGATGTATGGGCTTTTAGAAGGATTTGTAGCAGGGCATATTGAATTTTAAGCAGGGGATTTGTGTAAATATGATTGATCATGTTTCTTCTGCAGATCAAGAGTCAACAGTGCTCCCTGCAACGTGGGACAATATGGAAAATGAGCGACTCAAAATAGTGGAACTAAGACCAGAAACAAGAGAGTACAGAGATGTGCAGGAAAGGTTTCTGCAGACCTGTCAGTCATTCAGAATTGAAAAGGTATGTCATCATTTCTGAGCATAAATACTTTGATGGTAAGTGATAAAAGATACTAACAACAATGGAAAAAGTAATTCCACTTGGATTTCTGGAGTTGGACAAGTTTTTTTGGCTGTCACTAACTTCAACCAGCATCAGTTTAATGGGGTATTTGAAGCAGCTCTTAAGCAGTTGCTTCTTCAGCGCCAAGGGAGAGTGCTCTTGGAATGCTTTTTGCTGTAACAGAGCACAGCATTTGCCCACGTAAGCTGTGTGTTCTGTGCAGGCAGGGGGGTCATCTCTGGCCCAGAAAACTGCAAAACGCTCCTGTATTGTTTCCCATGGAGTGTTTCTGTCGTGTTCTGGCCTGGGTTCTGCTGTCTGCATGCCAGAGTTTGGAAGGATTTGACTAACTTGTTTCATCATTTGGTATAAAAGCATTGGAGTTGGGAGGGGAATCTTGGAAGCAGATCGAACTGTCTATGCGCAAATTTTTTTCGTGACAGGAACCCACCCTCTTTCTTTCTGTCTTTCTTGCTTTAAAACTTTGCAGATTGAAAGGGTGCAGAACCCATATTTTTGGAAGGCCTACCAAATAAAAAAGCGTGAAATGGATAAAAAAAATGGCAACACAAATAATGAGAGGCTTCTGTTTCATGGGACAAGTAAAGAGTCATTAACCTTAATTAACAACCGTGGATTTGACCGGAGCTATGCTGGAATACACGGTAAAGTGACTATCTAAGCAACCCTTGTTTTCCTGAAAGAGGCTAGGACTGATTTACCATGCCATCTGAATAGTCCTGCCTTGCAAAATCATTTGTTTTGTTATATCTCTGTATTGTAAATCAAAAGCAAATTCACTGGCTCTGAAGGTGGCAGATAAGGGATTGCTTCTACTGAAACACTCACAAACATTTGTTTTTCTGACTACAGCTGCAAACTTCGGAAATGGAACGTACTTTGCTGTTAATGCCAACTATTCTGCCCACGACAACTACTCTAAACCAGATATAAATGGGAAGAAGTACATGTACTTGGCTCGAGTCCTCGTTGGAGAATATTCTCAGGGCAGAAAAGGAGCGATCACTCCAGAACCAAAAAATGCTAGTAACTCTATAGATCTGTTTGATAGTTCGACTGATAATGTGAGCCGGCCATCCATGTTTGTAATTTTTAATGACATTCAAGCTTACCCAGAATACCTTATTACTTTCACTAGATAAGTTGTTTTGATTGCAGCCACGATTGCAGGTCTTTCAGCCTTTGTATAGGATGGAAACACCTATAACAAAACACACAATGAAAACAATAATTAGTTGCATCAAATTAATTTCTGTTTCCATTTAAGCAATCTAGCGATTTCTGATACCCCTGAAGTAGACTTCTTGTTTACACTTGGAGCAGCTGAGCATGTTTAACACTTGAGCATAACTTTGTACTGAAAACTTCTGCTAGATTACATATCAAGTCTTTGTACTGTATCACCTTTTCCATGCAGCCTTAGGGCCTTCCTAATTGCTGATGAGGAGTGGAAAGAGATAGTGCAGCCACGAACTGTTCAGTGTTGCATTTCTGATGCCTTCTTACACTCATAAGTGACAATCTCATTGTGGATTATGACACAGTGGTTTTCAATAAATAAACTAGTAATAGTTAATGGCTTATGTTTGTCTAGACCTGTCAGAACTTTTAGCATTGATTTTCAACCACTGAACTTCAATGAACTTGATGTTACAGATATGGATTGACTTGGTTTTAATGCCATAAACCTGTTGCTTTGCAGTGCCTCCAACTACTGAAAACTCTTAGCTCCTCTGAATGAATTGGCTTTGACTTATTTGGTTAGATGATTAAGAAAAAAATCTTCCAATACCTTCTTTACGTAATTGGTTGGGTTGCTGTTAAAGTTCTACTGTGGGTTGGTGTTGGTGTGTCCATGTGACCAATAACTATTGCAGAGGAACTATGGCCAAGGAACACCTTTTCTGGGAACGTGGTGTGAGGTACTTGAACCTGCAGTTCAAGTATCTCAGTAGAGCCATAAACATCAGGCTGTTCATTCTCACCCATCCCATTGTGACAGTGCTGGAACAACTCCCTTTGGGCCTCATTGCTTCTCATTATGTCAGTTTTCTAACCACTGAAAAATGCTGACTGTTGAAATCAAGTGTCTTGAAATCAATTTCACCTGGAGCTTGAAATCAAGATATGGATATGGGGGCCAAAAGTCTTAAGTTTTATTTTTACAATGAATAAACTTATTAAACCTCTGTAACAAATACCCATGGTCCATGGTTCATCAGTGTGCCAGGAGCCAGAGGAGATGACTCCAGGTGCTTCATTGCAGCTGGTGGGTCACTGGTACCAGTCTTTCCATTCCCTCCAGAAGACAGTACTGCATCAGTTCTCAGTTTCCCATTGCCACAAGAAGCTGCAGAGGACACCAAGGTGTTTTTTCACCAGTGCTTGCATTACAGGTGCCATGGGCATCCAGCACGGAACAGAAACCTGCAGCACTGGGCTCTGTGCAGGCGATGAGTGACAGATGCTACTTCTCCAGTTTATTCTAATCAAAAGGCAAAGGTGGGGGGCAGGGGCATACAAAGGGACCTAGAATCATAGAATATCCTGAGTTGGAAGGGATCCACAAGGATCATCAAGTGGAACTCCTGGCCTTGCACAGGAGAGCCCTGAGAGCATTGTGCAAATGCTTCTTGAACTCTGGCAGGCTTGAGGCTGTGACCACTTCCCTGGTCACGGGAAAGCCTGTTCCAGTGCCCACCCACCCACTGGATGAAGAACCTTTTCCTAATATCCAACCTAACCCTCCCCAGGTACAGCTTCAACCTGACACTGCTTGTTCCACCCTGACCTTGTTCCTCCAGCAGTGATGTTGCAGAATTTGGGATATGTAAAAGTTTTCTTAAGAAACCATCTTCTCTGAGGTTTAATCTTTGTATACTTTCAAGCTTAATCAACAATAAAGGAGATTTAATCCATGAAACAGATAGCAGCTAGCATGCAAGCTCTAATTGTCCAGGTGTTAGACAAAGTACTTGCTGGTAGAATTGCCTTGTTAAGGTTTAGGGCTTGACATGTCTCAATGATCTCAGACCTAGGATGAGGTTACCAAAGCTCCAGGAGAAGGACGTACCACTGACAGTGGACACGAAGAATGCCACAAGGATATTTGGCAGGATGCTCAAGATAAGGAAGAAACTATTAAAGATAAATCAGCAACTGTGCTGAATCAGCTTGACTGGGGTAATATTTTGAAAACAATTCCCGTGTGCCCTCTGACAGCCTCACAAACATGCAGTTGGAAAATGCTTACAAGGGAAAGCAGAAAAGTATTTCAGTCACCACTGGTGAGAAAAAATACACAGTGGATATGAAACTTAAATATGCTGTGGATGACCAAGGAAAGCAAACATCCATTAGACATGCTGATAAATCTGAAGGTAAGTAAAAGCATCTTGACAAACTGACCTTTGGATATTTGGCAGGATCCCCAAGATAAAGAAGAAACTATTAAAGATAACTCAGCAACTGTGCTGAATCAGCTTTAACTTGGGTAATGGTAATTCCAACAAAGGGAGATCATGACCACCAACTCACTAGGCCCACCGAGTGAAGAAACCCACCGACCCAAAAGAAGAGAAAGACTGAGAGCATGTGGATTACTTGGCATGAGAAGCAAGACAATCGTTAACCAGTAGAAGAGAGGAGACTAATTAATAAGAGAACTAAGTCACTTGTAGCCAAGGAACATTACTGCCTTTGTTTGCTAAAATATATGAACAGTGAAAGAAACCGCTTTAGTAGTCTCTGTGCTGGCTTTGTGGATTTGCCACCCAGCGCCTCTTTCTGCACAGAACTGTAAATAAATGAAATGCTCGAATGCATGTGTGGATTGGCCTCTTGCACAGCGGGTGAAAGAACCTCTTTTGGGACAACAGCGACACGGGCTGGCAGCCCTCGGCATAGGGGCAGAGGGGACATTCTGTCAGGTGAAGGGGGTGCCCGAGGCAGCTTTGGGGGTTCGAGGGGGAGAGAAGCTTAAGGGCGCGGCAGTGAAGCTGCGACGGGGGTCCCGAGGAGCCGGCCTGGGGCAGGTGTATCGCGACAGACGGCAGCGGAGCCCCGAGAGGCGGGTGCCTGCCGGGAAAAGGCGCGGCCGCCGCTCTGGGAAGCGAAAGCGAAAGCGGCGGGGAGCGGAGCCGTCGGTGCGGCGATGGCGGGGCAGCGGCCGGGCGCCTTCCCGCTGCTGGTGCGCGGGGACTGGGGCTCCGCCGAGCCGCCGCCCGCCCTGAAAAAGAAGCTGCTCTGCTACTTCCAGAGCCAGAAGCGCTCGGGAGGCGGCGAGTGCGAGCTGCGAACCGGGACCGACACCGGGACCGGGCATCTCCTCGTCTGCTTCGCCCGCCCCGAGGGTGAGCGGCCGGGACGGGCGGGTCGGGTCGGGGGACCCGGCGGGTCCAGGGCTCGGGGTATGGATCAGGGTGTGGGCTCCCTGCGGGGATGAGTGAGGGTGTTGGGGGTGGCAACTCACGAGCCTAAACTTCCTGCAAGTTAAAAGATACGAACTAACTTAGTTGTTGTAATAATATCTCCGGTCTGGTACGTGATCTACAGTATCTATAGTACGTAGATGCCGTATACACCCCCTAATATACAGTATAGATAGTCTCTAAACATGATGTGATTGTTGTGGATGTCCTGTGCAGGGCCAAAACTTGGACTCAGCGATCCTTGTGGATGCCTTCCAACTCGGAACATTCTGTGATTCTGTGATTTGTTTCTTATCTTATGCTTAGATGTGGTGTTTAGAACTCTGGATTGTGTATTGCAGAAAGGCTATAAGCTCATAAATATATCCTACGAGCTATATGTCCATATATATTAATATGGATGCACACTAGTATTCTCCAGATTGCTCTTGGGATAATAAAGGTTACATTAATCTAACAATATATGTAATAGCTACAGATATATATGTATAAAATATGACATCTATAACATGCCTGTATTTCTCTAAACTTGCTGCAACATGGAAAGGATTCAGCTGCAGTTAGGTTAGATGTACACATACATATGCATGTATGTGCATAAACACACAGAGAGATTTTTTTTTCCTTGCCTTATGCTTCCCAGTTGCTGACTCAAAGAGCCGGTAAGTTCAGGACATAGAGCCACAAGCCATTTTGGCACCAGCTGAAAGAGGATGTGAAGGGGTTGGGGGTGGTACCGGGACTCAGCGGATACCCCCATGAAACGTGATAGAGCTGAGCTTTGCATCTCTCGGGTTTCTTTGGGGAAATAATGTCCTCTTGCTGTTCTTCCGTTTCTTTTCAGGCAGAAAGCCTTGTGCGTGCTGTGTTAGTTACGAGTTGGAAGCTCTTTCATTTCATGGGACAGCATATGTGTCTGTCGTGGGTCCGGCTAGGACAGGGATAACTTTTGCAGCAGCCAAGAGGGGCACAGCCAGGACCCAGGGGATATTCAGCAAGCACAGGGGGAGCGGGCAGGGAGGGCGGTTTTCCAGTGTTTGGCGAAATAAGCAGTTGGGTGAGCAATGGCGCCTGAAGTGCTCGCCCCTATTGCACACTCTGCTATTAGGATTGGGGATGTTACTGCACGTTTTTCTGATTTCTAGTAAAATGTCCTTATGTCACCCTGTGACCTTTAATTTTTTGTGCCTCCAGTTCTCCTCTCCATCCCATCACCAGGGGGTGAAGGGGTGGGGGGTGGTGAGCAAGGGGCACGTGATGTGGGGTGTTTCAGTGAGAAAATGGATTGTGGAATACCATTTCCAAACCACAACAGTGTCCTAACGTAATGGTGGAAAAGCGCTATGTAATCCAAAGCTGTATTTCTGATTTTCACTGGGGTGTTTTGGTTTTATTTAGTGAAGCAACGAGTTCTTCAGAGACAGCCTCATGAGTTGCATTTGGAAGGAAAAGGAAAAGTGAAGTTGACTGTCACAGAGCCTGAAACCACACTAGCTACTGAAGAGGAGACACTTGAAGAAAAACTAGCTCCCCCAGAGGTGAATAAAAATTATAATCCCAACCAGAGCTTTGAAACAGTGGTGGCAGCATGAAATCTGTCACTGATACTCAGCTTTCACTTTATTTTAGGCTCTGGATGCCATGAGCAACCTTCAAACAAAAGGTAAAATGCTATCCATCACTCTCTCATCCTTCCTAAAACAAAGATGTTGGTGCTTTTCTCCACACGTGGCTCCCATTCTGGGGGGAGTTTTTCTGAAAGTTGCTAAGTTTGGTAGTGTGACTCAGGTGATAGAGGGAAAGATGTCTGGCCAGTGACACTGCAGACTTGATCACCACGAATGGAGTTCACCTTGCCACACTCGGACAATGGGCCTGGTTTAGCTTCCTGCTGCACTGATGGCAGGGCACGGTGGTCATCAGGGGGCTTTACATCGAGTCACGCAGGGCTACTGCAGTGGCCTCTGGTGCCTGTGGATGTCCTGGGCTATGTTCAGGCTTGTTACACCTGCACCAGGGCTAAGAAACAGATGCAGAGGCTGCAGAGTCTCTCCCAACCCTTACTGACACCTGAGCAGCTGTGGCCAATTATCTCAATGGCTTTTAGTTGAGTTTAGTCTCTGACCCAGTGAGACCTTGACTTGTT